GGAAGTGTTAGAAGTAGATAAATAATTGGTTCAGTTTCTAAATGATTGGTGTTTTGTGTATTTGTTGATGCAGAGTAGAAATTAATTTGTGTATTGTTATAACATCTTTTAACTTCAAGTTATTTTATTAAGTTTGTCTTTTCTTTTTAAATATCAAAAGTTGTACTTTGGCCTGAAGCTTTCATTAGCTTAAACTTATTTTTGGCCCACTCTGCAAGTTCTTTTTAGGTAAGTATTAGATTTTTTTGTGATAGTTATATGTCATCTTCCTTTAATTATTATACAAATAACAGCTAGAAAAAATGATTTTTTATATGATAATGGCCTACGGTTGTATTAATAGCAAGGAACAGAATTTTTAATCAAGCTATTATTAACCTGATAAAATTTTTTGTTTTATTTTTATTTTTATTTACAGTTTCAATAAATACAATTTTATTTATTTAAATTTATTTTTAATTTATTTTTTTTAATCAAGATTTCATGAAAAGTACAGTCGTCCTCCCATACAATCACACAGTTGGACACATAGTAACTTTTTTTAAAAATGTGCTTATAAAGAGGTTGTGCTTATATGGAGGTATTTTTCTTATAAATTAAATTATAGTTTGGCCTAAATAAAAATGTGATTACTTATGATGTGATTATATGGGAGGTGACTATATGGAGGGACGACTGTATTGGTTTAATCTTTTTAATTGACCTGCCTTAAAAGATTCATGTCGAACTTAATCACTGTGGCATAAAATGCACCATAAGTTAGAACATACAAACCTTCAAAAAGATATCTTGTACTGAATTAAGAACAGGATGATTCGTATCTCTATTAGGATAGGTACTTTCCTAACTTATGGTAGAATTTTTTTTTGGATCAGTAAAAATAGTTCTGGTGGGTCAAAAACAATGGTTTTGTAAATTGCACCTAATATATCATTGAAACATTTGGATAATGCAGGGTATTTTATTCCCGAAGCATTTGATCACATTATTCATTCTCTCAAGAATTCGAAGCCAATTTAGAATTCAATTAACATTCTTAAGCATAACAACACATTCTTATTCAGGATCACATCTAATTTGGTTTATCACCTCCCTTTTATTTTAATCAGTTTCTTCTTTAAGTTAGCTCTACTGAACCAGGTTGGCGTAAACAGATTTGCCTTGCTTTACCGACAGCTCAATTAGCCAACGCCAAAATGACAATATATACCTGTACTAATCAAATGCTTACTCTAACCCTATGTGACATCGCTAATTGAACTTTTGATGAAATAAATGACTGTTGGTGAGTGAGAAAAATATCCTCTCCGGGTTGTAAGATAAATCAAACTATCAAAAACAATTTCAAACTGGTTTTTAATTAGGGGTGCGTGCAAACTTTTTATAAAGTATCTACGTATGCAGTTAGACTATGCATGTATGCGCGTAGCATTTTTACCGTTAATGCAGGATCGTTTAATTAGGGACCGTTATGTGCAACACGTAAAACAATAGTACTACGTATTAGTTATTACTCAATAAATCTCTACAATTTGATTGGTGGATTAACATCTTATTGTCACGTAAATCCTCAAAATCGAGACAAAACCTGTCACCATACTTACCGGTTTTGGGAGGGCCTAATACAAAAAAAAAACTAAAATAAAGTTATTTTACAATTTTTTTATATTTAAAAAATAGATTTTAAGCTATATATTTTTTAATACCTAACAGATAATATATATTTTTTAAAATTAATTTTAATAAAATTTATAGAACATATTTAAAAAGGAAAAAACTAATTGTCCACTATGTGTATAGACACGGGTAGCATGCTAATCGAAATTTTTACAAATAAAAAATTAAACCCTTGCTTATAGCTAGGGTAAGGGTGAGGTTTAGGATTGGAGCGGGGGTTGGTTTATACCAAAATTTTGCTAAGAATTTTTTTTGTTAGAAGCCAAAAGGTGGGTTCATAATCGAAATTTTGAGAAACAACATTACTCCCGTGTATATACACTAGCGTACAAATAATAATTGCCATTTAAAAATTATTTTTAATTAAAATATTAAAATATCGCTAAAACCAATATTTAATTTGCTTGCTATTTTCCATCTTTCTGCAATTTCTATTTGTCACTAATTGAATATTGCTGTGATTAATAAGAGCTGCGAGAAAAATTAGTAATCCATTTTCATAATTCAAATTGACCTACGTTGCACTAGAAGTTTTATTATATCACGGTCTTGATATTAATAGCTTGGCATTAGCGAGGTAAAGGACTGAAATTCTTAATTAAACACAACTTTCATTCATAGTTACAATATTGATTAACACATGAATATAGAGACCTACAATACGTACGTACGCGAGCGGAAGTTGGTACGTACGCACGTACGTAACTGAATTGAACTGCAGAGTTATTTAAAGTTAGGTAACGGATACTATAGTTGGGTAAGAATAGAGCCAATACAGTAATATTATAAAATATTAATATAATCGGATAAAACCGGATTAACTTAATAACGATAATATCTGTTCACAAATCCAGAATCGGTAGAACTTAAAACTGGTGGTAACCTTCCACATGTTTTTCCTATAATAATCCCTTTTTCTTGTAGCACGTTTAAATAAAGTTTTTAAGGAATTTGATTAACCTGTTCACACATGCGAATGTGATTTCTTAAAAGCCACGACCTTATTATATTAATTACTTATCAAAAACATAACTTATAGCATTTACTTAACAATAAAGCATTCATCATTATGTTTGAATCAATAAACTACTATTTAAAGATTTATTATAATCAAATATTAAATTTTATATGTATAAAGCAAGAAAACGAGACGTCGTGCGATGTTGCATTCTTATTTATCTGTTATTGAATTTTTATGTTACGAGAGGGCGACTGTAACAAATACTTGTGCACCACATATTCTGTGTATAAATGCATATACGCGTGATTCTTTAAGCTCAGATTCACCTGAATAGATCATAATAATTGCCTTCATCTAACATTTACACGTGTAAATTGTGTTTCTATTTTTTTTTTTTTTTTGAAAACAATTTTGCGTGAATAAAATAATAAATAATCAAAAAGCTGATTATTAATAGAAGTAAAGTGGACGTCAACTCACTACCTCCGTGTTTCAACACAGATTCCTAGAAGCTACTTACTATATATAGCTCTAGGGGTCCTTCATCAACGCTTACCTCCGACACTGTTATTGTATAACTATGCAAAAGAACGTACTCTATTTCGTTTTGGATAGTCTATTTTTTTTTGATAAACATTATCACTTACAAAGTAGCATATACCTTTAAATTTTTATTAATATATACTGCAGAAAATCTGACGAGTCACGTGAAGCCAGACTAAAATGGGTATCTCTAACCAGGAAAGCCAATAAAATATCAATTTAAGATCATGTTTAATGGTTAATTACAGTCTATACCAAATTTGCTATTCTGGAGGCTTTGAAAATTGCATGTAATGTCTATACCGAATTTGCTGTCTTGGAGTTTTTTTTTTCACTGAAGATTTTGTTTATACAATGGAAGCCTTTGTATACTGAACGTGCATAAAAGACTATGTATAACGAAATTTGCTATTAATAATTGCCTTAGATCGGCTAATGCTGAGAATTTGAAACTTCTTGTTTGTTTTTGTTTTTTTTTAGTATTTAGGGTTAGATTCATTAATAAAAGACTATATGTAGTTTAGTAAATTAAATAAAGACGCAAATCTCAGCATCTAGCCTTGTGCATGTGATTGAGTATGGCATTTCTATTTTGAGACACTTAAAGCATTAAAATTCTCTATTAAATCTTTGAATAACTTGATATTATCATTGATAACTATTGATTGTGCATATAAGAAATTATAAGCCATAGAATACGTAGAAATAGAGTAATCTCAATAATAAATGTGATAAATTCTGGTTCAGTATAACAAATTGACTAATATTATTTGGGCATGTGATTACCATACATTTCTACGTATCAAATCGTTATATTTAAAAATTACCTAAAGTAAAATCTTAAAAACCTAGTTATTATTTCTGCACTAATAAAAAATTCTAAGACATAAAAAGAATTCGTATTTAAATTGAGAAATATGGAATAAGTGAAGAGTTATAAATTACAATATTTAAATCTTAAATGATTCTTTTAAAACCAATAAAAATTCCGTCCAATCTCAATCCACTATCGTTCATGGATCAAAATCATGTCAATACCAAAGTTAGTTACATTCTTAGAAGTAACTTATTCAAATTTATATGTATAAGCAGACTATTCTTAAAATGTTTCACTATTAGAATTTAGCTGTGATATATATTTGCAATCCAATACTGCAATATATTTTGATGGTTCGATCTTGACTTGCAGGCAGAGGAGAATTAAAGGAATAATCGTTTATATAACAAGATGAGTGTTCATTAGTAACGTACCCGACCTCTTGAATAATTTAAAAAGATGGCATTAACTCAATTACATTTTTTAATTATCTAATTTCTATTTAAATATTCATAAAAGTTGAGGAATCATTGAAAGAAATCACACCAAGTACTAAAAAAGTAAGTTTTTATGTTTTATGTTTACAGCATAATATTTATTTGTAAAATTTTACAAAAATAACAATAATAAAGTTAATAAAGAATTCAATGATGAATATGATTAATATGATGATGAAAATGTTAAAAAAATAAGGTTTTTCTTGATCATTGAACATTACTTGTTTAAATTTTTAAAGTCATTGATGTAAAATTTAAAATGTAATAATTACTGGATCCATACTGGTACCTCTCGCAATATAAACTTAGCATACACTTCACATATCGTGCGAGTTCACGAGAATCGTGTAATAAGTTTACTTCATGCGAAATATGAAGTAGTCTCACATAAATCACGCGAAATCGCGGGCAGCGATAGTTTTGTCATCTTCACTACAACCAGGGTTCGGTAATATAGCTTGGAACCAGGTCAAACAAAACCAAATCAGCCGTGGGTGATTCGGTTCATCCAATTGGTACCATGACAACTCGGGTGAAAACAGGTATATATATATCTATGGAGTCTTTGCCTTGAAAATCGCCTTCCGACATTTCCGATCGGGCTAATTCTGACAAAAACAAAGCCGTGTACAGTATTAGTTCATGTTTATATGTAAACCCCTTTTTGTCTTTATGGTTCATTAGTTTATAGAATAAAGTTTCGAATAAA